CAGGCTCTAACTGCAGCTGTCTTCGGTTGTTCTTTGTTTGGGGGTCTTTCTGCCTTTAGTTTTTCCTTCAGCAAATTAAATGCATGCTCAATGGGGTTGAGATCGGGTGATTGACTTGGCCATTGTAGAATATTCCACTTCTATTCCTTTAAAAGCTCCTGGGTTGTTTTTGCAGCGTGTTTTGGATCATTGTCCATCTGTACTGTGAAGCGCCGTCCAATCCACTTTGCTGCGTTTGGCTGAATCTGGGCTGACAGTATATCTCTAAACTCTGCAGAATTCATCTGGCTGCTTCTGTCACATCATCAATAAACACCAATGACCCAGTGCCACTGGAAGCCATGCATGCCCATGCCATCACACTGCCTCCACCATGTTTTACTGATGACGTTGTGTGCTTTGGATCATGAGTTGTTCCAATCCTTCTTCACACTTTTTTCTTCCCGTCATTATGGTACAGATTCATCTTAGTTTCATCCGTCCAAAGAATGCTTTTCCAGAACTGGTCTGGCTTTTTTAGATGTTTTTTGGCAAAGTCTGATCTGGCTTTTCTATTCTTCAGGCTTATGAATGGTTTGCACCTTGTGGTAAACCCTCTGTATTTGCTCTCGTGAAGTCTTCTCTTGATTTTAGACTTTGACAATGATCCGCCCACCTCCTGGAGAGTGTCCTTCATTTGTCTGGATGTTGTGAATGGGTTTTTCTTTACCATAGAGAGGATCCTGTGATCATCCACCACTGTTGTCTTCCATGGACGTCCATGTTTTATTATGTTGCTGAGCTCACCAGTGTGTTGTTCTTTCCTCAGAATGTACCAAACTGTTGATTTGGCCACTCCTAATGTTGCTGCTATCTCTCTGATGGATTTGTTTTGTTTTTGAAGCCTTACAATGGCCTGTTTCACTTGCATGGACAGCTCCTTTGAACGCATGATGTAGGTTCACAGCAATAGATTCCAAATGTAAATACCACACTTAGAATCAACTCCAGACCTTTTACCTGCTTAATTGATGAAGAAATAACGAAGGGGTAGCCCACACCTGGCCATGAAACAGCTTTTGATTCAATTATCCAATTAATTTTGGTCCCTTAAAAAAGGGGGGATGGCTACTCTTAAGAGCTGTAATTCCTAAACCCTTCCTCCAATTTGGATGTACATACCCTCAAATTACACCTGAGAGTGCGCACTTTCAGCCCATATCCATTATATAACTATAGCTTGAATATGTTTTGGTAAATACCTGAACAAATCTAAAATTTTGCCTGTGTCCAAATATATATGAACCTAACTGTATGTATGACTGTAAGCTAGGGACCTTAGAGTGTACGCTCCTTGAGGGTTAGGGACTGATGTGAATGTACAATATGTACAGCGAAGGAAGTAAGTATTTGCTCCCCTGCTAATTTTTAATGTTTGCTCACTCACAAAGAAATTATCTGTCTAAAAATCGAATGGTAGGTATATTGTAACACTTAGAGACAAAATAGCAACAAAACAATTCAAAAGAAATGCATGTCTAACAAAGGACGCACTGATTTGCATGTTCATGAGGGAAATAAGTATGTGATCCCCTTCACAAAACATGACTTAGTACTTGGTGGCAAATCCCTTGTTGGCAATCACAGAGGTCAGACATTTCCTGTAGTTGGCCACCAGGTTTGCACACATCTCAGGAAGGATTTTGGCCAACTCCTCTTGGCAGATCCTCTCCAAGTCATTAAGGTTTGGTGGCTGACGTTTGGCAACTCGAAATTTCAGCTCCCTCCACAGATTTTAGAATCAGATTAAGGTCTGGAGACTGGCTAGGCCACTCCAGGACCTTAATGTGCTTCTTCTTGACCCAATCCTTTGTTGCCTTGGCCATGTGTTTTTGGTCATTGTCATGCTGGAACACCCATCCACAACCCATTTTCAATGCCCTGGCTGAGGGAAGAAGGTTCTCACCGAAGATTTGACGGTACATTGCCCTGTCAATCATCCCTTTGATGCGGTGCAGTTGTCCTGTCCCCTTAGCAGAAAAACACCCCCAAAGTAGAATGTTTCCACCACCATGTTTGACAGTTGGATGGTGTTCTTGGGGTCATAGGCAGCATTCCTCCTCCAAACATGGCGAGTTGAGTTGATGCCAAAGAGCTGGATTTTGGTCTCATCTGACCACAACACTTTCAACCAGTCCTCCCCTGCATCATTCAGATGTTCAGTGGCAAACTTCAGACGGGCCTGGACATGTGCTTTCTTGAGTAGAGGGACCTTGCGGGCACTGCAGGATTTCAATCCTTGTCAGCGTAGTGTGTTACCAATTGTTTTCTTGGTGACTGTGGTCCCAGCTGCCCGGAGATCATTGACAAGATCGTCACGTGTAGTTCTGGGATAATTCCTCACTGTTCTCATGATCATTGACACTCCACGAGGTGAGATCTTGCATGGTGCACCAGACCTAGGGAGACTGACAGTTGTTTTGTGTTTCTTCCATTTGTGAATGATTGCACCAACTGTTGTCACCTTCTCACCAAGCTGCTTGGTGATAGTGTGGTAGCCCAGTCCAGCCTTGTGTAGGTCTACAATCTTGTCCCTGACATCCTTGGACAGCTCTTTGGTCTTTGCCATGGTGGAGAGTTTGGCATCTGATTGTTTGATTGCTCCTGTGGACAGGTGTCTTTTATACAGGTAACAAAATGAGATTAGCAGCACTCCCTTTAAGAGACTGCTTCTAATCTCAGCTTGTTACCTGTATGAAAGACACCTGGTAGCCAGAAATCCTGCTGAATGATAGGGGATCAAATACTTATTTTCCTCATGAACATGCAAATTAGTGCATCATTTGTAAGACATGCATTTATTTAGAATTTTTTATTGCTATTCTGTCTCTCAGTGTTACAATACACCGAACATTCAATTTTTAGACTGATTATTTTTTTTTGTGAGTGGGCAAGCATTCAAAATCAGCAGGAGATCAAATACTTATTTCCTTCACTGTATATGTAAAGCTCTGAGTAAAATTTTTAAGTACCGTACCTGTAATAAATCATAATGAATAATTGAACATCAACATTTTTTTTTTTGCTTGCACTGATAGAACGATGGAAGTCAACAGAGGGAACATTCCATTGCAAAGTGTAAATTCCCTGCTTTGGGAATGAACAGCACATTAGCCTTGGGTCAGTATTAACCCTACTGTCTTTAATTTGCTCTATACATTTTGTTAAAAGTGAATTTATTTGTGTGTGTTTGCTTGAATGTTTGAAGGAGCAAACATTTTTTTTTCTTGGAAAATAAAAATGTATAAGTTTCAAAACACCTAATACTTGTAAAATAGTTGTATAGATGAAGGTCCCTCTAGGAGTTGACAGTTCACAGGTATAATATCCTCCATCAGATATCTGGCTGTCCTGGATGGTCAGTGTTATATTGGTTCGTGTCATTCTTGTACTGCAGTTGTTGTGTATCTGTGATCCTCCTTTGGTGTGTGGACCATATGAGAATAAACACCGAGAATTACTGATGTGATGGATCTTCCATATAATTCCCGCTATTTGGTCTCCAGAATCCCCTCCACATTGTAGAACTGTAGAATTGCCTCTTCTTCCCACCACAACACGAATATCTGGAATCCAGAAAATATAATTTCAATCATTGTGTTGAATCAAGCAATCACGTGTAATCACACATTCTAGATATTGATATATACCTGTACCTATGAAGTATCCCCATGAAGGTCTACAAGGCTCAGTTCACACTGATACAGTGCAGAATTTGCACCTACTTCTGTGCACACGGATTTTGATGTGGTGTGGGAAACGCACAGAAATAGGTGCAAATTCCGCACCACATCAAAATCACACTCCGTTCATGCGAACCACTGCGGGTATGCAACGTAAGTTAATGCCACCCCAAAATCGGTTCACAAAGTGAAGTTGCAAAATTCCAGTCCGGGAAAAAAAAAGGGTCCTGCATGATTTGGGTGTAGATGCAATGCGATTTGAGCCATACAAAATGAATGGCTCAAATCGGGCTGCTGCAGAATCGTATGCGATTTGTACAGAAATGCTGTGCGATTCCTGTGCAAAATCACATGTGAAGTGCCGCACCGCATCAGTGTGAAAAGAGTCTAAATCAGCATGTTCCTTTCTAGGAGCATTTATCAGTATATCTGTAAAATTTTGGACCTTATAGTATTTATTCTAAACATTCTCTTTTATTAAAATTTACATGCTACAGAGAAAATTTTTTTTTAGAAAGCGCAAATATTGATGAAGACAAAAAAAGGAAATAGAGTGTGCGTACCCCTGAAGATGTGCATGCGCACGAAACGCGTCGGGTGGAGCTGCACTTGCCGATGTCACGCCGCTGTTGCCGAAGGACAGAAAGGTGGCCATCTTTGTACTCCATTCTTGCTTGTTTCCACGTGAATTGTGTTATATTCATTTTTTAACCACTAGCCTACAGGGCACTTATACCCCCTTCCTGCCCAGGCCAATTTTCAGCTTTCAGCGCTGTTGCACTTTGAATGACAATTGCGCGGTCATGCAACACTGTACCCATATGAAAATTTTATCATTTTTTGAGACAGATAGAGCTTTCTTTTGGTGGTATTTAATCACCTCTGGGTTTTATATTTCTTGCTAAACAAACCAAAAACAACTGAAAATTTTGAAAAAAAAATTTTTTAATTAGTTTTTGTTTTAAAATTTTGTAAATAAGTAATTTTTCTCCTTCACTGATGTGCGCTAATGAGGCTGCAGTGATGGGCACTGATAGGCTGCAGTGATGGGCACTGATAGGCTGCAGTGATGGGCACTGATAGGTGGCACTGATGGGCACTGATGAGGAGGCACTGGTAGGTGGCACTGATGGGCATTGACAGGCATCACTGATGGACACTGAAAGGCAGCACTCATATATGGCACTGATAGGCGGCACTGACTGGCACTGATAGGCGGCACTGACTGGCACTGTTAGGCGGAACTGATAGGTAGAACTGATGGGCACTGATAGGTGGCACTGATGTGCACTGATAGGTGACACTGACTGTTACTGTTAGGCGGCACTGACCGACGGCACTGACGGCATTGATAGGTGGCACTGACTGGCACTGATAGGTGACACTGAAAGACAGCTCAGATGGGCACTGATATGTGGCATTGATGTGGCACTGATGGGCACTGGCAGGTGCCACTGACAGCTGGCACTGATGGACACTGACAGGTGGCACTGCTGGGGCTACACTGATCATCAGGGCACACTGATCATCAGTGCCCTGATGATCAGTGTACATGTCCCCTCCGAGGAATGCCAATTACCGGCTCTCCTCTCCTCTGTCAACGTGACAGCTCGTGAGGAGAGAAATGCCGATAACCGGCATTTCCCTATTTACATGCGATCAGCTGTGATTGGACACAGCTGATCACATGGCCAAGCCGAGATCTTCGGCTCTTTCCATTGATCGGTGATCCGCTGTGTCCGAGGGACACAGAGCACCACCGATCGCCGTGCTGCGCGCTCCCGGAGCCGTGCACGCGCAATTAGAGTGGGAGGACGTCATATGACGTCCTCCCAGAATGAGAGAACCACCTTGCACCCGTCATTGCCTTATATGGTGGGCAGGAGGTAGTTAATAAAATACTACACTATATACTACTTTTGGCTCCTGTGGTGAGCTATTCCTCATAGCAGGGGGTTCACCTGTGTTTCTTGCCCTTGGCTGAGCATCCCTTGCAGAGGCTTCATTGCTGTTACCTGTACCCAGATGAGATGCTTACATGCTGTTTGCCAGTAGATGTCTGGTGAGTGTACATCTAACAGAAGTGGTGGATTCCCTATTGGATCACTTCACAATTTTCCACCGTGATTGCCGTACTTAGATCCTTACGAACAATTTATAGCTCTTACTGCACTGATATTTTATGGACTTTATATATGCTCACTTTTATGCTGCACTTTACTGTTTCACATTTATTGAATGATTTATTGAACATTTTTTATATTTGATTTTTATATGCTGCACTTAACTGTTCCGCTGATCAATTTTTTTTCTTTTTCGCTATATATCAGATTGACTTTGCCCTTTATTTTCACTATAATAGCATTCACTTATTTTAGAGCTGCACTTTCTATATATTTATCAAAAAGGAAATAGAGTGATGAGGTAATCAGTAGTGTTGCTTTTTGAGTTTGAGTAAAAGTGAAAAATTCTCCCTGAATTCCTCATATTTGATTTGGGAATGCTTTACGCATTCACCCTGGGAGGGGGGTCGATATCTGGGGCTCCCTATTCTAAAGGGGGCTTTCAGATTCCTACAAATCTCCCCTATAATTTTTTTGGGACCAGATGTAGAAGCCCTTGTCTCACTATTGGAACAAAGTGCCTTGCAAGGGGGGAGGTGTTGCCGCCCTTCCTTGCAAGGTACCCCCAATGTTGAAAGGCACGTGGCTTGATTCGGTATAGGAAAGTGGGCTGCCTATTTGCTGCCCCCCCTTTCCTGGCCACCCAGGCTGAATGCCTAGATCTGGTCTGGTTGGCCTATTTGTTTCCTTTTTTTTAATGTGCATTGCCCCTTTCACATGTATTCCAAGTGTAGGGAGCTGCTGTTTCCTCTAGTACCTGTATCTGTATGTGTCGCCCTCCACTAGCTAGGATGTCAAGTTAAATTTAGTTGTTGGCTTCACTGTAGCCATTGGAGTAGTGATCTATTATTTTTATCTGGTCAAGGCTCCCTAATCTGGGTGTTTTGATTTTTCACCATCTGCTTCTGGAAGAAGCTTCCAGAAAATAGCGCATGGAGAGTCAAATGTCCAATATGAATATTTTTTATGTCCCAGCTGTTCTGTCTCTCCAATCTAAGCATTGAAAGTGTGATCTCTGTAACTTACAGATGTGATGAGATAGCGATAACTCCAATCTTAGTTGAATAACACAGGCAGTGACTCGATCGGATGACACCTTGTAGATCTTGTAACGTTTATTCCATAAACTGAGAGAATCTTACAACAATGAACATCGGATAGGTCAAAAGATCATAATGTGATCTGCTTCCATAAGACATGAGGCATGAAGCTGAAATGCATTCTGGGAAAGGGGGTGGGCTATCTATACAGCAGAACTAAACCAGAGGAAAGGAAGGAGCAGAGACAAAATACAAAGAACACTTAAAGGTATATAACAGTCGTGAAACATGACACCAGCCAATCCCTGGAAGGAGGCATCCAGAAGCTGTCTGGGGAGGTGGTAAATGTTTGGAAAGCCTTGTCGGAGAGTTCCTCCTCTGCTAGGAGGGTTTCAGTTTTCCTGGGACTGCTGCCCCTGGGAGGCAGCAAGAAAGAGACAAAAATTGCAGCCTGGGCCATGGTGGGAGCTAAGCCGAGGGCCTAGAGAGGATTTCTAAAAGGAGTGTTTTCTGGGGGGCACTGCTTTGAAGCTCTGGTCTAAAGAAGGGTTTCTTATCTCCCTCAGGCTGAATTCACACTTGAGCGTTTTTCACGTGTTTTTGCGTGCTTTAATATAGCATTTTTCAGATGTTTTTGAGCTTTTTACAACTTATTTGAGCCTCAGGCGACTTGGAGTGGAGATATGAACCATGTCAATTGAGAATAATTGTTTTTTTTTTTCTTCTCAAGCGTTTTGGAGCTTCGAGCTACAAATTGCTCAGGTGGGAATGGGGCCTCACTGAGGATCTACTTGTGGAAGCTGGGTGGCTAACATCTCCTGGGACATTGTGAGAATGGCCTGATATGATTGTACTGTCTTGTTTAGACTTGTTTATTTAGTGATGTGCCTCATATAAAGTCCCTCCGGCAAAATTAATTGTGTTGTGCTGTGCTAACTTTTGTGATCTGGTGCACCACTTTTCGGCACCAGATCACAACCCATTTGTTTTTTGAGGATTACCTGATGTTGGGACTTTAGCATGTACCTGCTGCTACAAACATTTCTGTTAAGAAGCTTGTTCTCCTGTTGATTGCTACTATTGCTTTGAAGTGTCTTGAAACCCCTCTCCTGTTTCAAGTTATTCAGCAATACATTCTAAAAAGACATCCTCTAGACTGAGCCTGTATTGTCGGTGTGCTTGGAACTGTGCTTGTGGATGGAAGCCTCTGTACTATTGTGGGAGAATCGGAGATATCCTGAGCGGCCCCTCCGCAGGTGGGAGCTACATGTAAATAGCTGTTGTTTGGCAAGCACTTGCTTATCATGGAGTTAGTTAGGCAACCCCCCTTGCGGCCCTGCCCACCCTATGCCACTGGCTGTCTTCAAGCCCTTTGCTAGAGCACAGCACCATTCCCTGCATGAAGAGAATGGAGACTGAATCTGTTCCACTTCTCATCCTAGTCCATTTTCTCACCCCACACTCCAGCTCCCAGCATGGAATGCTTAGCAACATTGCCAGTTGGCCATGGAGCTTGGGGGTAGCGTCAGGTAGCCTAGAGTTCTTCAGATCACCAATGTTGGATGTCTGGGCACTGGAGTGGTCACCGCTGCACTAGATGGGGAACCATGAACACCTAGGGAGGGGCTGTCCCTTTGGAGGATACAACTAAATTCTGGACACCCACCCAACTGTAGGAGGGCACACTGGCTGGCACTGGTGGTGGCATGGACTGGAAAATCCAGGAGCTCTAAAACTATGTATTGCAAAAAAAGCATGGCTTGAAAGGGGCACACTGGGACTTGGAGTGCCATCATTAGTGGAAAGCCAAAGGTTTCCTATACCTAGTGGTGGGGGGAGCAGATAGGTGCAAAGTGGCATGCAGGGGCTTGCAGTAACATGATACCTGGGAGACCCAAAGATCTAACATAGGTGTTAGTAGAGGATGTGGACAAGGTAGCTCAAATAGACAACAGGGCTCTGAAAGATGTGTGTGTATATATATATATATATATATATATATATATATATATATACACATACACCGGCCACTTTATTAGGTACACCTGTACACTTGCTTGGTAACACGAATTGCTAATCGGCCAATCACACGGCAGCAACACGAGGAAAACCGAGCATCAGAATGGGAAAGAAAGGGGATTTAAGTGAGTTTGAATGTGGCATAGTTGTTGGTGCCAGACAGGCTGGTGTGAGTATTTCAAAAACTGCTGATCTACTGGGATTTTCATGCACAACCATCTCTAGGGTTTACAGAGAATGGTCCGATAAAGAGAAAATATCCAGTGAGTGGCAGTTGTGTGGAGGAAAATGCCTTGTTGATGTCAGAGGTCAGACGAGAATGGGCAGACTGGTTGCTGTGACATTCAGATGGTAGGGTCAGATTTTGGCGTATATAACATGAGAGCATGGATCCATCCTGCTTTGTATCAATGGTTCAGGCTGGTGGTGGTATAATGGTGAGGGGGAGAGTTTCTTGGCACTAGCAAGGTGGACCTAATAAAGTGGCCGGTGAGTGTATATCATAGAGTTTTAAAACGTGCAGAAACTGTTTGAAGAACTCTTTTTTCTCTAGTGTTGGAGAAAAGTCAAATCTAAGGGAAGTTACTGCACAGATGCTGGAAGCGCAGTAAAAGATTTCGGACTGTAAACTCAGAGGAGGCCACCATCAGGAAGAGGTATATGGGAACCTGAGTGGAGAGATTCTAATTTAGGTTACATTAGGGACTGAGGATTTCTTTTTCTTTTTCAAAGCAGTTGAAACTGATTAACAACCCTTCTGCTACTTAACTGACCAGATCAATATCCCAGGAGTTTCACTGACTTGATGCTAGACTCCGATTAAAAATTGTTCCTTTAATTTTTTTGAGCAGTATATATGCTTTGAGGAGAACACAGCAATACAGGTAAGTATAGAAAAATCATTGGAGTTAGTGAGGAGAGTTAAGTTATGCTTTAAACACTAGTTAAGTTTATTGAATATAATAGTAGGGTTTGTCAATGATTGCAATGCAGTATATATTTATATTTTAATCAAGTATTACAATAAGTGATGTTTTAATTTTAAAGAAATTATCTAGGATTACAATAATTTTCATGTTGTGAAGCACCTTTAACCACCTCCCGTCTGGCCGTTGTATATAAATGGCCGGATGGTGGCAGTGCAGGGTCGGGTAGCCATTTATAAACGGCCTCCCTGCCCCCCTGCGGACACAGTGGAACACCGATCGTCATACGGGACCTCTGTGCGAGGTCCCAGTCATGTGATCACTGATTGGCCAATCATTGATCACATGCAGAGTAGTAAACAAGATGTCACTTGTGACATAATTGCTTACTACGTGTGAAATCTGTGAATGATCACAGAGGTCACATGGTACAAGGCTATTCACAACAGCCTTGTACCATGTGACAAGCTGTGACCAATCACAGCTCACTCAGTAGTTCTCACTGGCTGCAAGAATGCAGCCAGAGAGAAGGAGAAATTATTGCTTTTACATCCTTTATGGGTGTAAAAGCAATCAGTAAAAAAAAAAAAAAAATCTTCATCACCCCCCACAAGTAGTACAGTGTCACCATGGTGACACTGTACTGCTAGGGTGACAGTATGTAAAACAAAAAATAATAAAGAAAAAATAATATTAAAAAAAGTAAAAAAAAAGTTTTAAAATTATAATTTTTGGTTATAAACTAACTTGGGTCATTTTTTTTTACTAAAAATATAACGGAATAAATTTTGGCCAAGATTTATGATGAAATACTATTTATTTGCAAATATTTATAAGAAAAACACTTTTTTTTTTTTTTTCAAAATTTTGGGACTTTTTAATTTACATAGCAAAAAAAAAAAATCCCAGTGGTGAATAAATACCACCAAAATAAAGCTTTATCTGTCTAAAAAAAATGCTAAAAAATTCATATGGGTACAGTGTTGCATAACCGCGCAATTGTCCTTCAAAGTGTGATAGCACTGAAAGCTGAAAATTGGCCTGGACAGGAAGGGGGTGAAAGTGTCCGGACTGGAAGTGGTTAAAGTCCCGTCATTTTTCAAGATATTTATTCATTAATATGGAATGTAGGCACAGACCTCCATATAGTGACAGCCCATAACAGGGGCGGACTGACAACTCATGGGGCCCCCGGGCAATAGGGGAAAATGGGGCCCCTGTGTCCTTGCCCAAACTCAAAAAAGCCTATGAAAAAGGTACCAGGGGCATCTCATGGGACCCCCTACTGACCCCGGGCCCTCGGGCAGTGCCCGAGTTTCCAAATGGTCAGTCCGCCCCTAGCCCATAATACCAATCTATATATTTGGTATTTATTCTCCTGGTATATTAGTACAATATTTGTGAAAAGGGCTGATGCATACGGTGTCTTTAAATTCTGGGGTGGATTGGGGGTTCTACAGGCAGAGCCCAGCCTCATCTGGAGGTTCTAGACTCAGTTTCAGTTACAGTTGTTGTACATGTGTTCTGCTGCAATAATGAACCCCATAGTGTCCCTGATACTCAGGAAATGCTTGTAGCTCTTGCAAGCTGCATTTGATAAGTGAAAATTAATTTCTGTGTCATCCTGAATCTAGAAAACAGAGGAGTCCCCTTTGTACTGTTGCCTACAGAATGAACTTTTTTCAAAGACACCATCACACTGAACCTTCACATCATAGGAACTGTAAAGTCAAGAAAGAAAAGGATGTGTAAATGCTTGTCATGTCTTCTACTGACTCAGAACACTTTTTCATATTTCCTACCTGGGACTTCTGCTTTCTATTTCAGTAACCATTTATGCACATCAGAGAAGGCATAATCAGGCTTTCACTTCAAGTACAGGCGTACCTCGTTTTACGAATTTAATGCGTTCTCCGGGACATTTCGTATTGCAAACAATTCGTAAAACGACACGCAGTTTCCCATTGGAATGCATTGAAAACCAATCAATCCATTCGGGAGGGTTAGAAAAAAGTAGAACAAAAAGTTTTTCATCTGTTCAAAACTCTTTATAAAGTGCACTTTAACCGCCTCCCGGTCACCATATAAGGAAATGACAGGTGCAAGGCGGTTCTCTCGTTCTGGGAGGACATCATATGATGTCCACCCACTCTAACCGCGCATGCGCAGCTCTGGGGGCGCGCAGCGTGGTGATCAGTGGTGCGCTGTGTCCCTCGGACACGGTGGATCACCAATCAACGGAAAGAGCTGAATACGTCGGGCTCGGTCATGTGATCAGCTGTGTCCAATTACAGTTGATTGCATGTAAATAAGGAACTGTCAGTTATGGGAATTTCTCTCCTCACGAGCTGTCACGCTGACAGAGAGGAGTGGAGAGCCGGTAAGCAGCATTCCTCAGAGGGGACATGTACACTGATCATCAGGGCACTGATAATCAGTGTGCCCTGATGATCAGTGTAGCCCCAGTAGTGCCACCTGTCAGTGCCCATCAGTGCCACATCAATGCCACATATAAGTGCCCATCTGAGCTGCCTTTCAGTGCCACCTATCAGTGCCACCTATCAATGCCAGTCAGTGCCACATATCAGTGCTGCCTATCAGTGCCAGTCAGTGCCGCCTATCAATGCACATCAGTGCTGCCTATCAGTGCCGCCTAACAGTGCCAGTCAGTACTGCCTATCAGTGCCCATCAGTGTCATATATGAGTGCTGCCTTTCAGTGCCCATCAGTGATGCCTGTCAATTCCTATCAGTGCCACCTACTAGTACCTCCTCATCAGTGCCCATCAGTGCGCCTAACAGTGCCCATCAGTGCAGCCTATCAGTGCCCATCACTGCAGCCTCATTAGTGCACATCAGTGAAGGAGAAAAATCACTTATTTACAAAATGTTATAACAAAAACTAAGAAATGTTTTTTTTTCTTCAAAATTTTCAGTTGTTTTTGGTTTGTTTAGTAAAAAATAAAAAACCCCAGAGGTGATTAAATACTATCAAAAGAAAGCTCTATCTGTCTAAAAAAAAATGATAAAAATTTCATATGGGTACAGTGTTGCATGACCGCGCAATTGTCATTCAAAGTGTGACAGCGCTGACAGCTGAAAATTGGCCTGGGCAGGAAGGGGGTAAAAGTGCTCGGTAGGCGAGGGGTTAAAGGCATAAATACTGTAAAGGGACATGATTAAAAATGAATTCGTAAATGCATTGAAAACCAATCAATCTGTTCCGGCAGTCAGAAAAAAGTAAAGAAAGTCTTATTTGTTCAAAAACTCTTTTATAAAGTGCACTTTAAAGGCATAAATACTGTACAGGGACATGATTAAAAAACTTTGTACATGCATTGAAAACCAATTAATCCGTTCCGGAGGTCAGAAAAAAGTCAAATAAAGTCTTCTGTTCAAAACTCTTTATAAAGTTCACTTTAAAGGCACGGGGCCGGCGCTATAAACCTCCCAGGCGCAATGCATCCTGGGGAAACTTACTTCGTATTGCGAAAAAAATTTGTAAACCGAGGCATTATTTTCCATGGATTTTCATTCATAAACCTAAAATTACGTTAACCGAGGCATTTTTAAACTGAGGTACACCTCTATATGTAAACCCTCACCTTGTAAAACAACCCATTCGGTATAAAATAGAAATGGAAGGCAAATCACTTGTGTATACATATAAAAAAAACACCAAAACTACCTTTTTTTTTTTCTCTCCCTTTTTATAAGTGATCACATAGCCTCGGTTCTCAGCTGTATAAGGATCTTAGAGAACTGGGGAGAAGAAACAGCAGCACACTGATCTTCCCAGTGAATGGCTGTGCAGTGCAGCCAGAAAACTGACCATGCTGAGATGGATGTGATCTACTGCCTAGCATGGTCAGTTTTTAATAGGAAAGCAGAGGGACTGGCGGGAACACCAGGGATTTCACAGAAAGGAAGCAATAAAAAGAGAACAGGGGACTTTTTTACATACTACAGCAGGCACATATCAGGAATGTGAAAGCCTGGGTTGACATTTAAGTAAAAAGGTGAGCTTGTACATGTGAAAAGAAAAGTCCAACTTTGCGTGTCTAATCTGCATCTATGTCACATGTTACTTTTCACTACTGCTACTCCTTGCATGCTACTTTATCTCTATGTTGAGCACAAAAGCACCTGAATATGTGCTTAAAGTGGTAATAAACCCAAAAGAAAACATTGATTATGTTTCAGTTTACCAATTCTTAGATGTGGTGGCTGCATTCATTTTCTTTTTAAGGTCTCCTTTGTTCTATTTTCATCTGGTGATGCAGCCAGTAAGTCTGTTGTTTTTCAAAAGAATAAGCTCTCCAGCAGAAATGTATCAGTTACAGGGATGAGACAAACCATTTACCACTGACCACTGGGGTGCTTACAATGATCAGCTGTTATGTATTCATTTAACATCTTTATCATGAAAGGAAAAAAAAAAACTGTTTGCCGTAACTGAGCTTGAGTTTGGCTTCAATTTGTTAATGTATCTAAATCTGCTCGTATATTTTACACTCCCCTCCCCCAGATTAACAATGCTGCTGTCCTCTGTGCTCCCTGTGCTCCTTCATCCAGAGTTGGGGTGCTCTAATAGAGGAGGTGTGTTACTGGCCAGATCACCTGGTGAAAAAAGACGGAAAAATGGTCCAATAAAAAAACTTAATGCAGCCACCACATCTAATGATTGGTAAGCTGCAATATTTTGCATTTTTGGTTTTGGGTTTAAACTTTACCTTGAACAGAAAGCTCCTCAGTAGAAGTTACTGTAAGCAGAAGACTAAAAAGGACCATTTTGGTAATTCTGCCCATGACCACCCAAATGGCTGAACACCCCTGGGACATGGGTAAGTCTACAATAAAATCCATAGCCAAATAGGTCCATGTGGACGAAGAAGGACAGCAGGCTTGGATAGTTGAGTCTTATTACGGGCACAGGTCTCAGAGACATCAACAAAGTCTTGAGTGCCAGAGTGAAGGGAAGGCCTTCAAAGGTCTCTAGAGACAATCACAAGAGTCTGCTTGAAGCTGGGGTGTCCAGCAGGTGAATTATGGATTTTCTGCAGCACTTGAAGGTGCAAAGAAAGTGGAACAAACAGAAGTCTCAGGAGGATAGTTAGTGGAGATTTGGTTAAAACAGGTAATAACATTTCGGAGAGTTTCATTAAAGTGGAAAGGAATGATATGTTCCATTCATCTCCCTTTTTAAGTGGACTGGCTTATAAATCTCTCTCAAATCAAGTTTAGTGAAGATTTTTAGCACCCTAAATTTGAGAGATGAGTTAGGTGATAGGTAGTGGATAACGACTGGGAACAGCAATTTTATAAAGTCCACAGTGGTCAATACAGGGTCTGAAGCTTCTATCTTTCATTTGTACAAAAATTAATCCAGCCTGTAAGTGGGTTAAAATTAGCTAGATAGGCACTACCCTAGATGGGAGGGTTGGGGTTAACCTAGATCCCAGGTTTTCGTTAGGCAGGATCTTTGGGTTCAACCCACTGCTCCTTTGGTTATAAAAAGGGACACAATGTTTTTTACAATGGTATGTTTTGTATTGCCTGTTGTGATTTGACCCGTCTGCGACACGGGAAGAGCCTTACAGTGATATGTCCGACCTTGGATTTCCATCTGTACATGTATCGTTATGAATGCTTTCTTCTAATAAAAATCTTTTTTGGAAAAAAAAAAAATAAAAAGGGACAGTGGTTCTAAGCCGAGAGCCCAGGGGAAAAAAAGAAGAGGACAAGCAGCTGGAGAAAGAAGGAGGTTCCTTGCAGACCCCCTGGAAGAGTTTGAGAGCCTTGCGGCTGTTCCATCAGCATGTTCTGAGAGATATAAAAGCCATCCAGCTTGGGGTTCGACCCGAAGTCACTGGAAAATGCCACTTTTGGGACCTGGATATGCAGAGACTCTACCTTTGCAGGTATACCGGGACAGCACTTAAGCCTGAGTTAGGATTAGGGATTAGGAATGCAGAATATGACTGTTCTGTGGGGTCATTGGACTTTGTATGGACTATCCAAGTAAAGTGTTGAAACTTTGCCTTCTGCCTGGTCTGAAGACATTTAAAGAAGTGTAATGCAAGTAACTAGCACAGTTCTATGTAGAGTGTTCAGTTTGGGTCACCAGCACATGGGGTATGAACGAGGAGCATGCTAAGAGTCATCATAGTGTGAATTATACATGTAGTTGCCATGAGCGATGAAGATACAGTCAGTCAAAGCAGCCTGTCGTAAATGCCTACCTGTCATAGGTGGAACTGCATCTAGCCACAAAAGGAGATGTTGTTGTCACCTCCTATGCTGCATGCTGCCATAGCAATGGAAGTTCCCTGCAGAGGTCCCCAGAGTTTCAAGCTGTGGTCAGTGTTCAGCATTGTAAGTTACCGTGGGAAGATGTACATTTACCTGGGGATCCGACAGTTAACTGGAGAACAGTTATAGTGTAAAAGTGCTTTGTGTTGTTCATCTCTAAGTGTTAGAGGTCCTCATGAGGTTGAGTATTCCCTAACGGCAACCTCAGCCTTGTCCCAAGGCATTGATGAAAACTGCATGAGAAGCAAAGGTACCCCATGTGTGTTTAAAGTGATCCTGTTACAGGTACCTAGCGTAGCCCAGAAGAACCCAACCCAGGGGTAATACTTAGATGTGACCAAGACTTAGCACCCAGTTAATGGAGAACATAGAGGAAGGTCCATCATCAGCTACCTACCCCCCGCCCTACCGACAAGCCCCTGTAGGTGAAGTGGACAGGTTTTCCTGAGTATATTCTTGCATGACTTGTTTTGACTTGTTTTCAGACTTAGAGACTTAGAGACTTAGAGAAGGAAACATTCTGTCACAGGTGGACAAGAGTCAGGCAGAAGTTCAATAGCACAATTGGAATTGCTATGTGGGGGAAGAATGCCTTTAGAGAAGACATCGTGAAAGGCAGACCTTTAAAGCGGAACTACCCTGCATCACTGCAAACAAACCAAAACTCTATTTAATTCATTTTTAGTGTTCAAAGCAAGCTTCTTAGTCCACCCATATCCCCTTACTTTAAATCACTTTGTAAAAGACCCCTCTAGCATTTCTGCCCGTGGCTATCTTGAGTAACGGCATATTATTCATATAGCATTTACTTCCTGGAATCCATCTACTCTTAGATCAGGTATGCAGGCAGGAGCGTGTGCTTATCTGAGACAACCCCTCCTTCCCTCCCGAAGACTCCTGGGATTTATTACATCATTTGCCTAGGTCTGCAAACTAGGAAGTAATTAAAGAACTGTTAAAAAAGGTAAAACAAGTATATATGTTATACTTTCTTATCTATTAATGATAGCACCATAATAATCATAATGCATGAAGGTAAAAGAGCTGGAGCCCTTAACCATTAGCCGCCCGGCCTATAGCAGTTTGGCGGCGGCAAAAATGCTTCACCTTTCCGGGTGCACGCCATTTGGCATCCTCCCGCACATGCGCAGTTCGCGCGGCTGCAGAGCCGTGCAGCGGCGCAATCTGTCACCAGCCGTGTACCTCGGACACGGCCGATGAGAGATCTGAGTACCGGCCCCCATTGCCGGTACCATGTGACCTGCTGTGACCAATCACAGCAGGTCACATGACAGTTGTATACAATGGATGGCTTCATTCATGCCATCCATTGTAT